CAAGGAGTGCCAACCTGTTGCAGGCCAGAGGAGGTGGGGGAAGGCAAAGACCACTCACCTTCTAAGAGGGGGAGCCAAGAGAACAGTGTGATCTCATCACCACCCTCACCTCGGGCTCTCGGACTCAGTGTGATCTCTGGATCACCAAGACTGCCAGAAAGGTGCTTCTTGGCACCTGGGCCCCCCAGCACCCTTGCAACTTGAAGCTTCCAGCCTGCCTGACATGGGCACCCCAGAGAGAGGGGTAGGGGTGTCATCCTGTTTCCACCTCTCTATGCCTTCAGAATATTGAATAGTGTAGACAAGGACGGGTTGGGCCTTTTAGTGGCTTTTGAAGACTCTGTGACATCAGCAGGGTCTCAGCTGGCATAGAGATAAAGGAATGCTGTTTTTAGGGCTGTGTCTCCTTTCAACTGACATTTTTGTTTGTTTGTTTGTTTGTTTACTTTGGGTTTTTTGAGACAGGGTCTTGAAAGGTAGTCCAGGCTGTCTTCAGATTCTTGGCAATCCTCCTGCCTCAGCTTCCAGAGTGCTAGGATTACAAGTGTAGGCTACCATGCCTGAGCTCCTATTCTGACATCTTAAGTTTCAACTCCAATATCCCCAGGTATCTTCCTTCATCCCTTTCCCTCTGACCAGGACAATACAGGGACAGTCTTCTCCATTTGTAAATTGCTAGGAAACTTGTTAGGCTTCTATTGGAGACAGAGCCAGCCAGGGAAAGTTCCCCACTAAAGATCTCGCTCCCTGAGATATGGAGCAGCAGACATCCCTACTTCCTCCCAAACACACACACACACCTCCTCTGCCAGCCTTGGGGACATTAACCCCCAAGCCTCTCCTACTCTCCCCATCCACAGCTGGGAGTTGGTGTTTGCTAGAAGGCAGGGCCCGGAGGCCTGATTGTTTGCTCTGGCAGCCCTACCCCTTTCTCCAGCCCACTCCACCCTGTCTTCAAACCACCATAGGCAGAGCAAAACTGTGGTTTCTACCTCGCAGGTGAATACACCTGTCAGTGTGCCCCGCTTGCTAAGCTGTCCTCATCAGGACTTCTGAGCACCCCTCCAAACTTTCCCCGAGTCCCACAGAATCATTACATACTCACTCTCTGTCCCTCACTTCTGTGTTCCCAATCATGTCCTCTGACAGATGGCTGGAGGCTAGGGTGACATGGTCCCCAGCAGGCTGCCGAAAGGGCAATTCTGTTCTCCCTACTTCCCAGCAGCTGTCACGGCCTCACTGCTCCAGGGCTATCTAGTCCCAGATTTTTCCAACTCTCCCACAAGGCATAGTGGCAATTTGCCAGCAGGATCTCACTCGGCTGCCTCACGTGAGGGGCCAGGACAGCCAGGAGGAGGCAGGTGTTCCCTGGGAGGGTTTGGACACATGAAGAGGGTGTTGCAAGCAGTCACAAGCTGTTTGAATTAAATGTGAGAAACATCAGCCTTATGTCATGGACAGAGATCCAGTTCCAGCACAGCAGCATCATGGGAGCAGAAGATGGATGTCTGGAAAAATGATCAGGAGCTTAAGCTTGGACTCCAAGCCTTGATTACCCTGGTCCTTATCCTGAAGATTTGAAGCAATGAGAGATGGGATCAGATTTGCCTTCTAGAAAAATCTTCCACAGAGCTAATGTGGGGAGGTGACAGATGGGGCAAGGGAAAGTGGAGTCACCAGAGCCAGAGTTTCTGCTTCAGCTTGCTGGGTAAGGTAGGGGTCAGGCCTAGGAGAAGGCAACAGGCTGAGGTAGAGAGAGGAGTCATTGAGGGCCAAGTGGGTGTTAGGGGCCTGATGGAGACAGGGAGGTGTTGAAGAACAGTTCTCTGTTTGGACTGAAGAGAAATCCTGGGAGGCAGCTTAAGCCACCTGTATACCACACATACACACACGCCACCTGTATACCTCACACACACAAGCCACCTGTATACCACACACACACACACACACACACACGCACACACACACACGCGCGCGCGCGTGCGCGTGCGCACGCGCCACCTGTATACCTCACAAGCCACCTGTATACCTCACATACACAAGCCACCTGTATACCTCACACACAAAGCCACCTGCATACCTTACACACACAAGTCACCTGTATACCTCACACACACAAGCCACCTGTATGCCACACACACACACAAGCCACCTGTATACTTCACACACACATAAGACACCTGTATACCTCACACACAAGCCATATGTATACCTCACACACACAAGCCACCTGTATACCCCAACACACACAAGCCACCTGTATACCCCACACACAAGCCACCTGTATACCTCACACACACACAAGCCATCTGTTTACCTCACACACACAAGCCACCTGTATACCCCAACACACACAAGCCACCTGTATACCACACACACATACACACACACAAGCCATCTGTTTACCTCTCACACACAAGCCACCTGTATACCTCACACACAAGCCACCTGTATACCCCAACACACACAAGCCACCTGTATACCCCACACACAAGCTACTTGTATACCACACGCACACACACACACACACACACACACACACACAAGACATCCTGTATCCACACATAATCCACCTGTATACCTCCCCCCACAAGTCACCTGCATACACACCCCACACATAGCCACCTATCCATCCACCCACTCACACACCAAGGAGAAGAGAAGCCCGGGCCCAACAGTACAAACGGGTGAACTGAGCCAAGCAGCTTCTTGCCTCTGCCCAGAAGTCATACTGGGAGGGGACTAGTGTTCAGACCAGAGTCCACAGTACATCAGGCTCAGTGTTGTCTCAGGTAGAACAGCAGGAGAGCAAGAGAAAGTCAAGTGTGGGTGAAGCAGGGAGCTGAGCAAGGGAGAGGGGGTGGGGAAGAGAGGGAGTGGGGGAGAGAGTGTGTCCACCCTTTTCATGGGGGGTCAAGTGATGTTTCTCTATAGACATGCCTGTATTTGAACAAATTTCTGGAGATTTGTAGTCCTGTTTTTTTTTTGGGGGGGGGGTTGTTTGTTGTTTGTTTTTCGAGACATGGTTTCTCTGTGTAGCTTTGGAGCCTATCGCCTCGAACTCACAGAGATCCGCCTGCCTCTGCCTCCCGAGTGCTGGGATTAAAGGCGTGCGCCACCACCACCGGGCTCTGGTTTGGCTTTTGACGCAAGGAGCTATGTGTGACTAGACAGAAGTCTAGCTTCAAATCTGGGCTCTGCCTCTTCTAGGTGTGTGGCCCCCGGGAAGGTGCTTCACACCTCTTAGACTCACTTTGCTCATGGGTAATTGTCAGGGTAAACCAACTGCCACAACCAAGTCAGCCCAAATAAATACATCGGGGATACAGGCTACAAAGGTTTCCTTCTATCGGTGCAGAGTGTGCAGCCTAGTGAACAGGCGGCAGGGTAGTAGCACTGAGACCCAAACTCCTTCCTCTGTGTGGTTCTGTTTTCTTCACTGTGGTGGCAAGTTCACCACTCTAGCTTCACAGAGCCAGGGCGGGAGGAAGAATATGGCCCCAGTCATAGGAGGCTTTAATGAGCCAGTCCTGGTGGTGATGTCATTTCCTCCTATAGTCTGCAGGCCGCAGTTGGTCACATGGCCCCACCTGTCTGCAAGGGGAGCTGGGAAATGTAGTCCGTGCTTAGAAGGAAGGAGGCAGGAGGAAAAGATTCTTACCCACACATGGGCATAATGGCCCACTCCCCGGGTCCAGGAAATGGGCCCTAATCATGGATCTGTCTTCCTCAGTTTCAATTTTGGGACTCTTTCCTTTCCTGTCCACTCTCTGGCTGCCCCAGAAATGATCCTGTTTCTGAGATCCAGAGACCATGATCCATGACTGTCCTAGAAAATGAAACAGCCTGTAGTTCCCTGGCCACAGGATTGGCTCCGAAGTAGCATTGACTAGAACTCAGCCAACTGGATATATTGACTTGGACTTTTTGTTAAAATATTGGGGAAAATATTTTTACTCTTAAGCTATTGAGGGCTGGCAGCCATCTTGTCAACACAAGGGTGGCACTGGGATATCAGTGGGGGAATGGCAGCACAGACAAACTCATACACCTAGTGCTCAGGACACCTGCGGCAAGAGGATTGGGAGTTTGAGGTCAGCTGAGTTATGCAAAGTGAAGGGAAGGGAAGGCAGGAGATAGGAGGAGGAAGAGAGGCCCCAACATCGAGGAGAGGGAGTATTTCTGGGCTGAGCTGTACTTCAGTGATAGAACACTTGTCTGGCACGTGCAAAGCCTGGCTTTGATCCCCAGTGCTGCAAATCGTTTATTTGCTAAGAGGTGGGTTTCTGATGGAGCACCTTTAAGAGCACCTTGATCTTCCAGAGCTCAGGAGTCAATGAAATCCCCAGGGGTGGGGGTTGGGGTTGGGGTTTCTGTTATTTGGAAGAAGAAGGCTTGGGCTTTGGTAGCATTAGAGGTTAACTGTTGGGTTGGGAACCAGGATGTGCTCAGTATCGACTTATTGGGGTTAATTAACCAAAATTATGATAGGAATTGCAGAGGAACCTGTGGTGGCTGTTGGTGCATAGTTCCCAAGGAGGGAGATGAAAACATGCTTCCCAAAGAGAAGCCCTGTGGCTGGCCCTGGGGCCACACACTCCAGCCCCCTAGTTTCTCTTAAATGCACACAGTAGCCCTGCTTTCCCCCCAGAACCCCAGACCCATGGCCTGAGATGGGAGGAGCTTCCATACTAGGCAGGGAGATGTCTGTCATCAGAACAACTGAGGAGGACCTGCACTAAACTCTTTCAGATCTGCCCCCTTTCAGGAGGCTGGGGCAGGGGCTCTTGAGTCCAAGACCAACCTCCTGCTTTGTCTTACAAAACCAAACCAAACAAATACCCCCAGGTCTGTAGGCTTAAGAACATTACCTTCTATTGGGGGTCAGCAGAATCTGGTTGCAGACACCTCAGGGATCCTTAGCCCCCTGCTGAGTGCTGGTCTGAATCTATTGGGTTTTTTGTTTTGTTTTTGTTTGTTTGTTTGTTTTGGTTTTTTTTTTTTCTTTTTTTTAGACAGGGTTTCACTTATCTTTGGCTGTCCTGGAACTCACTCTGTAGACCAGGCTGGTTTCCAATTCACTGACATCCGCCTGCCTCTGCCTCCTGAGTACTGGGATTAAAGGCGTGTGCCATTACCACCCAGCTGAGTGTATTGTCTTAAGCTTCCAATCTTCCCCTTGGATATCCACCTTTGGGGAACAAGTGGGAAGCCCTTT